ACTTTTAGGAAATGAGAAAAGGATTCTGATTATCTGAAAATTTTTCTTCAAATTTTTTTCCAAAGAATTTCAAGCCATGTGCCTGGGCCACAGTCTTTGGTTTAAAAAAGGGGGTCGATTAAGCTGTTTTGCTGCGTATCGAGGCTGATTTGTCTTGCAACTAGTCAAAACCCAAGTTTTCAGAACTTCTCACAGTGAAAGGTTGCTAATGATTCAAACAAAAATTTGTCTCTTCCTGTGACCTTTCAGAAATGATGATCAGGCTAACTCCTTTTAGATTTGTGCGCTTTATAAAAAAACCTCAAAAAGTTGTGTGTGGTACCACAAATATTGTGAACATTAGCAGGACAGAGGAAGAGAACTTGGTTGGTCCCATCCACCAGAGAATCTGTGAGTTTGGATCTGTACTGACTTTGTCTGAAATGCGGTGCTTGCCCACTTGAACAAAAATTGATGTGTTTTTAGAGGCTCATATTCAAAATGAGAAGAGACAGAATTAGGAGGAAGCAGAAGGATAGCATAAAGTGAGGATAGTACATGACTTAATTTTATTTCTATTATTACAACTGTTTGTGAAAAACATGCTGGAGTCTTTTCAACACATTGCCTAGTATTATTTAATATAATATTAAGGAAATATCTTTGCTACCGTAAAGTAAATTCCCTAACATTTTTCTTTGAGAAAATGTTTCTTCTTGCATTGGCCATTGCATTTTCTTCTGCATTTTCTCTGAACCTTCTGACTATTGCAATAACATTGTAGGTCTTCTCATGTATGAGGTTTTATCATGCTAAATGCTGTGCAAGTTCTGTCCAGAATGTCCTGATCCAAAGAGTTTACAGTTTAAAAAAAAAAACTCAACAAGAGATAAAAACAATGATTGTGTTTGCCCAAAGTCAGTGATGAATATGCTATTGTGTGCATGGCAAAATGTGTAGATCTCATTGTTTTACATTGCTATGAAAGGAAAGTGTGAGATTATAAAGAAATCTGTCACCAGATTAATAGTTTTTTCTTGTCTTTTTTTGTTCTAACCTCTGAAAGATGATTGCCTTTAGGATAACAGAGTAGAATTCTCTGCGGATTTTGGAAATGACTGTTTTTTTTCCTTTAGGGACAATAAAGTGACATTGAATGTAAATGTACAGTTAAAAATTTTGAGCTGCTTTGCCAATTGCTGAGTGCCAAGTGCACTGTGGCCTTTCACAGTGTCAATGTTGAGCAAAACAGTAATAAACAGCTTGTCAGGCAGTTCTACCTGTAGTTAATCCCTTGATATTTAGCATTTTTTTAGAAAGGGTCTGAACCTGAATGGACTCTCTGTCTGAGACACAGCCCAGAACAGGTGCTAATTATTTACATTCTTTTAGATTCAGTGCACTGTTGAATGCACATTTAATCCTTATTATATCTGAGTTTTTGATAAATTTTATTTTGGCTAGGTTGAATATAGGTTTTTGGCTAGGTTGGCTAGGTTCTGTTCTTTACAGAAAAAAATGTTCACAGTTGCCTGAAATCACCAAAGTGTTACTGTTAAGAGAGTTGCCCAATATTTTTTCTATTAAAAGTTTCCACCCAGGCTGCAAACTACAGTGCTGACTTAGCTTCAGTGATCCTCAGCCTCCACAGATTTGTTTGCTTTTTTACTCCTTCACTGTGTAGAAAGATGCTGGACGATGCTCTAGGAGCATTCCAAGGGTCATTCTTAACCCACCAGTGGGTTAGAGTCTGATAAATTCTCTGTCCATGATACAGAGAGGTTTTGCAAAGATTTGCAGAGTTTAATTCACGTAGGTTATATAAATCTGGTTGTATTTGCTGAGTCTAGTTGTCTCAAACAAGACTGAGGCTTTTTTGTGTATGTTGGTGTCAGGTGCCAGGAATAAATGAGCTATGAACATGAAGCAGTTTTGTAGTTAAAGCAAAGGCAGAAAACCCTGTTCAGTGAAAATCACCCAGACACTGAAAGATTGTTTGCTTAGCTCATGGACAGAAGTTCAGACTGGATGATAAGTGTTCAGTTCAGTCCCTGAGTCAGTTCTTTCTGAAAGATAACAGATTTAGAGTGTTTGTAATTGAGGGGCTTGGTGTAATAACTTTGTTTCATTGATTGAGGAAACGAAGTCATAAACAAGCTGAAAATTTCTGATATAGATAAATATATGGGGTTTTTTGATAGATAGATGTATCTTGTGAGTCTGAATATAATAAATTTGCCAGGCTTGCATTACAAATTGAAACTTGTTTCTCAGAATAAAAGCAATTCTCTCTACCAGTTGTAGAGACAACATTTTGTTGTCTAACATCCTGTGTTAGAAAAATGCAACCATTCAGTGTTGTACCAGCCCAAATGGACTCCCGTGGCCCATCATACTAAATCTCTGTACTAATATTAAATTTGGTGATTGATACCCGAAGTACACAAAATCAGTTTTCCTGCAATGTTACAGCCTGGATTAAAATGCCAGAATGGAGGCAGTCTTGCTTATCGCTCCTATTCTCTCTCTTGTAACTAGATTTTTTCAATGAGATTCAAGATTTTGGTGTGGTAACATACCAGCAACTTGCTGCCACATTTTGTCTTGCCTGTACCACTGGGACCCAGACTCTAAGCTGCCTTTTCTAGTGGGCTGGTTGTAGAGGATATGTAATTATTTCTTCTTGCTGGGCTTCTTTAAGGTACTCCGTTTCGCGTTGGGGATTAACATTAAAAGAGTAATTCCCTGAGTAATTTGTAAGTAATATTAAGGGAAACATAAAATACATTAAGTTTAGTTAGTAAAATAAATTATATGAAAAAAGATGAAGAGACTGCCTCAAGCTCTGAGATCCCTATCAGATATTTTTGTTTTACTAGCAAGTGACAGTTTAAAATTATAAAAAGCCAAATCCAAAAGATTTAGTCATTTGCTGCCATTTTGGAAGAAATGTGGTTTTTTTCTTGGTGTCATGCAATAGTACAATTTAAAGCTGTTAAATATCTAAGGAAACACATAAGCACTAGATATTTTGAAAAATATCTTTAGTTATTAAGTTATATTTTAAGTTATATTATATAGTTATAATATCCCCCCCCTCTTTGGGCCCCTAACATCTCCAAAAATCTTTAAGTCTTCATAAACTTTTTCCAGGATACTACTGGCTATAAAATGTCTATTAAGCTGAAAATCCAGAATAACAAACACATCGATAACATGTTATAATGCCCCTGGCTCAGGGAGGCATTTAAACACATTGTCCATTCACATTCCATGCTATTGCTATTGGAGTGCTAGCATGGTGGTAGTGTACTGTCACTTAAAAGAAGTTAACCAGTGTAGCAAAGGAACAACCATCCTCAAAACACCTTTTTGTTTGGCCTGTTTCACTGGGTATGAGAAAGTTTGTCTCCCTTTCCAGCTGTTTAGCTGTGTTAATTTTTATAATCATAGAATCACAGAATGTTGGGGATTGGAAGGGACCTCGAAAGATCATCTGGTCCAATCCCCCTGCTGGAGCAGGAACCTAAATGAGATTACACAGGAAGGCGTCCAGGTGGGTCTTGAATGTCTCCAGAGAAGGAGACTCCACAACCTCCCTGGGCAGCCTGTTCCAGGGCTCTGTCACCCTCACTGTAAAGAAGTTTCTTCTCAAGTTTAAGCGGAACCTCCTGTGTTCCAGCTTGCACCCATTGCTCCTTGTTCTACCATTGGACATCACTGAGAAGAGCCTGGCTCCATTCTCCCAACACTTGCCTGTTACATATTTATAAACATTAATGAGGTCTCCTCTCAGTCTCCTCTTCTCCAAGCTAAAGAGACCCAGCTCCCTCAGCCTTTCCTCATAAGGGAGATGTTCCACTCCCTTAATCATCTTGGTGGCTCTGTGCTGGACTCTCTCAAGCAGTTCCCTGTCCTTCTTGAACTGTGGGGCCCAGAACTGGACACAATACTCCAGATGTGGCCTCACCAGGGCAGAGTAGAGGGGGAGGAGAACCTCTCTCGACCTACTAACCACACCCCTTCTAATGCACCCCAGGATGCCGTTGGCCTTCCTGGCCACAAGGGCACAGTGCTGGCTCATGGTCATCCTGCTGTTCACCAGGACTCCCAGATCTCAAAGATCCTGTCCTGGAAATTCTCTTTTCTTCAATGCTTGACTGTGATGACTGAGTTGAAGATCAGGCAGTAAATATTTTTGTAAGTCCTTAGCAATCCTCTATGAGGGCTGTCGCCAGGATATTTAACTGTATTTTATCTATTAATACGTCTCTACTAGAACTGAATTTGTATTTCCGTATTTGTTTAGATTGTCCTGTATTTGTAACTTTCATAACAGGATTGTGGATCCTAACACACTGGCAAATCTCTGCCATTTCAGTAAGACAGGTTCTGATAGGTTTACTTTTAGACCTGCCTGAGAATATGAGTGATGGATGACTGCAAACATAACAGGCTGTACAACCAACTCTACTTGTAACACGGAAGGCATTTTCTATCAGTAAATATCTTCTGTTTGTGACTAGCTGAAAATCTAAAGGAAAGACAGTAGTTGGATCTGTTCCTAGGATCCTCTGAGGTCCCCTTCAGGCCAGGTGTGAATTCCTTAGCCATAATCTCAAGAATGTTAGGGTCAGCCCCATTTTCCACTATGTGAGTGGTGGACAGCCTTAAATCTTGCTGTGGTTGGTGTGTATGGGGGCTGTTTGTAAGGTACCTTGACAGCTAAATGGAATTCAGATGATTTAGCACAGATTACAGATTTTTTTTGCCACTTTATGAATGAGTTTCAGCTTGTCATGGTGTTCATCATCAAGACTATTCCTACTCCCAAACTCCTGACCTACATGTGAGAGCTGTCTGCTGCTCTTCTCTGACCTAGATGCAAAGTTTTATGCATATGAATTTGTGAATCATTTGGGGATGAATCAGTAAAAGATTTATAATGATCACTGACATTGTTAGTATTAATCTGAAGAGCAGTGTGGTTCTGATGTCTCTTTTCCCTCTTTTTGTTTCAGTTCATTGCCTTTGCCTCTTTATTCTTCATCCTAGTTTCAATCACAACCTTTTGCCTGGAAACGCATGAGGCTTTCAATACTATTATAAACAAAACTGAGCAGGTCATCAACGGGACAGAAACTGTGCTACAGTATGAAATTGAGACAGATCCTGCCCTGACATACGTGGAAGGAGTCTGTGTGGTCTGGTTTACATTTGAATTTTTAGTACGTGTTATTTTTTCCCCCAACAAACTTGAGTTCATCAAAAACCTCTTGAATATCATTGACTTTGTGGCCATCCTGCCCTTTTACCTAGAAGTGGGCTTGAGCGGGCTCTCCTCCAAAGCTGCTAAGGATGTGCTTGGTTTCCTCAGGGTGGTAAGGTTTGTGAGGATCCTGCGAATCTTCAAACTCACCCGGCACTTTGTGGGACTCAGGGTGCTGGGCCATACTCTGCGAGCCAGCACCAATGAGTTTTTGTTGCTGATAATATTCCTGGCACTCGGTGTTTTGATATTTGCCACCATGATCTACTACGCAGAGCGGGTGGGAGCCCAACCTAATGACCCGTCAGCAAGTGAACACACACAGTTCAAAAATATCCCTATTGGCTTCTGGTGGGCTGTAGTCACCATGACCACCCTAGGATATGGGGATATGTATCCACGGACTTGGTCAGGCATGCTGGTGGGAGCCCTGTGTGCACTAGCGGGGGTGCTCACCATAGCCATGCCTGTGCCTGTGATTGTTAACAATTTTGGGATGTACTACTCCCTGGCCATGGCAAAGCAGAAACTGCCGAGGAAGCGGAAGAAGCACATCCCTCCTGCTCCTCAAGCCAGCTCGCCTACCTTCTGCAAGACAGACTTGAACATGGCCTGCAATAGCACACAGGGGGATATCTGCCTGGGCAAGGATAACCAGCTGATGGAGCACAACAGGTCATCAGGTAGGACCCCACTGGAAATGCATGTCTTCTGAAAACACTTTATAGACCAGTATGTTTGGTAGGGGTCAGAAAGCAGCCAGTCTTTCTGCCAGGAGAAGATGTAGCTCCCACCCTTCTCCCCTCCAGTGTTTGCGTGTGTCAGTCTCATAGAGGACAAAATAGATATAAAGATGTTCCCAAACCTCTATGTAGCTGGTCTATACAGTTTTGCTTGCTCCGTTGAGAATGCTTTCCTGCTGAAAAAAATCAACCTTTTCTTTTGCCTGTTGTTTGTTGCGTCATATGGATGTTTCTTGTTTTTCTGCATGACTGTGACTATTTGAGCAGCCACCGTGTCCCACCCTGTTGGACTCCATGGTGTTTTGCCTCAGTGTCTGTCTCTTGTGTCAGCTTTGCCTGTGCCACATCGTGGCCTTTTAAGCAAGATCCTACAAAGAAGCAGTCATTTAAAAGGAGCAGGTGCTTTACATCAAAAGCCCAGCACTCAAAGGAAATAAGACAAAATTATCTTTCTAGCTTTCTTTCCATTTGGCATTCTGCATCCCTGGCTAGAAGAACTTCCTTTGTCTGTGTTAGATGAGACATTGCATGATATTTACTATTAATTGAATGATAATAGCATACCTGATGTAAAGTTTGTCAAGCAAAGTTTAAATTACAGCCCCCAGCAACATCATTGTTATTAGTGTTGATTTTTATGATTTATATTACCTTATTTGTTAGAGTTCCAAATGATGGATAAGGAGTATTTTGTACTAATTGCTGTGAAAATGCGTATCAGATAACAGCCTCTGCCTCTCCAAGCCACTTCCCCATATTCCATATCTCTTCAAATTAAAGAGTAAATTTTATCTCAGTATAATTAAAAAAAAAATCAGCAGGGATTTTTTTTGTTTGTTTCTTGAATTTATTTATTTTTAAAACAAACACTATCTGATTACAAAGCTTACATACCAGTCATTAGACTGCTGTTGGAAAGCTGCTAAAGAATAAGAACAAAACCACCACTGTCATTCAGTAATTGAAATTTAGTTTTTAAAAAGAAGAGTCTGGAAAATTGGTCTCTGAAAAATATTTGCCTTTGGGCTGTTGCCCTGTTACAGAATAACATTTGTGTTCAAAGAAGCTCGGCTTCTGTCTCCAAGGGTATGTTCACAAAGTTAACACAACTTTTTGAACATCCTAAATATATTAAAGAGGATGGAAAACCTGAAAGGACTCACACTGAGGGTGAATACAGATAGTTTTACAGTGCTTTGACTGATACCCACTTTCGGATAACATCTTTAAAATGTTAATGATAACAGCTTTTTCATGCCAGTTGGGTCCTACTAAAGGTGTTCTGGATTGGAGGAGGTTCAGTGTGATGAGAGCAAAGAGACACTTCTCTGTGTCTGCAGCTTTATTTACAAGAGGTTATAACCCTTGAAGCTAGAGAGAAAGCAGATATGCATAGAGGACCCATTTTCAAGTGTTAACTTTCTCTTCAGTAGTGCCACCACTCACATCATGCACTGTGGCTTTATTTCTGGTCATGAATGGTATTAGAGTCACTAGGAATTCTGCACAAAACCTAAAGGCTGAATATGGCCCTTTGCATTACCAGTTCAGAAAAACACGTGCTCAGTTTTAAATGCAAAGGTAAAGCTGAAGTCAGTAACATGCCATTATGTGTTATGTGCTGTACTGAGCAGTGTGGCCTGAATCTGCAACAGCAGATAAGTTTAAAAGAGAGTCCTTTGGGAGTGCCAGATCAGGAGAGGTAAGAGTTTCACTGTTTGACAAAATAAATTACACAGACCAAAGACAGCATTTAATGTTGGATACTTACCATGACCAGCAGTGCAAGTGTGATAAGTATAGATATGAAAGCTAAGTGTGTTATTAAACAGGCTTTAGTGACAAATATTGAAAATTTAACCCTTCTGGGGGAGGGGTTGTCCTTAAAATATGCTAAACAGCATATTCTAAGCAAAAATGACTAACACAACATCTTGTTTAGCAAAAAGGATAGCCAAAATACTAAATGCTTGTTTGAAATATCCAAGGCTGGCTGTACTTTGAAAAGTTACAGTCCATAATAGGCAACTAACGTAGCCTTGATTTGATGATTTCTTATTTCGTGTTAGTTTAGTAGAACTTTATATGAGATTTAAGAAGGATAGGAAAGTCAAAAGATCATTTGCTCTTGAATAAAAAATATACCTTTTGCCATTTTGTACTGATTAATGGTGAATTGTAATCTTGTTTTCTTCTAATGATTTACCTTATAACTATTTTTTGAGTGATGGGAATATCCAGCATTCAGCATAAGCTCTTTGTGATGTCTCATTTCCTCATTCATTATTGTCTGTAAATGGGCATGGTGCTTTAACCAGTGTTATCAGGTGAAGACAGTGCAGGAAGTGAGCAGCCACTCTCACCTGGTGAAAGGCTCCCTCCCATCAGACGCTCTAGTACCAGAGACAAAAACAGAAGAGGGGGAACATGTTTCCTACTGACAACAGGTGATTATACGTGTGCTACTGATGGAGGGATCAGGAAAGGTATGGACTTCTTTCATTAGATTATAAAGGTTACTCAGAAATGTGCTTGTGAAAAGCAAGCTTAGAGTAAAATGTTGTGCACAGTGCTCTTAGAAGAAAGACTGTACTCACAATGTAACTTTTTTCTTTATTCCTAGTCATTCTTTTCTTGCTTTCCTTTTAGAAACACTTATCTCCTTTAGTCTTCACAAAATGTGCTTGATATTGGACCCTCATTTCACTTGTGTCTTCATTTGTCTGTTATCTTTAATGTAAAATCTGCAATTCAGACCTTGCTCATTCAACCACTCATCACTCAATACCATTTTTCATTCTAAATGACAAAATAATTATTTAATAACTTTGGTCTGCACTTAATAACTTAGTAAAAATTACAGCCGAATAAATTACACTTAAAAGGCTGAAATATCAGAAGTAAGCAACATTTTTGTTCTGAATACAGCAAAGCGTATCATATGAGATGGATATTTAGATTTCTTTCAAAGAAAAGTTTGAGTTTATAATGCCACAAAATGCTTCCTCTCTGTAGCACACCACTAATACTAAAAGGTGACTGTCTACCCCAACAGGAATTCAGCTGCAATAAACGATGTTTGATCTTTCAAGGTGCTAAAAATGCCTTTCTAGTTACTCAGCCTCTTGAAGTCTGATTACTCACTGTTCAGTAGGATTGGGTTCCCCAGGCAGAGTTTCCAAAAACCTTCTGTTGTTATATGTATCACCCAGGCGACTGATAGTGGGGCTATCCCATCAGAGACCACAGCTGGCTGTGGCTCCAAACCTAACCTCAGGGGATAGACCCAAAATCAGCAATGCCAGTGGTAGTCTTGCCATTTCTAGATAAGAATTGCTATGGTTTCTTGGCAAATTGTACTGTTCCAATAGGTTTCATGTTCCTGAGTGCTGATGTGTAGTTGTTCACCTCAGAGCTCGTCTGCAGTAGCCATGTGGCACTGGACAAACATTTTTGGCTGAGATTTTTCTGCCTTTTTTTTTTTCTTTTTAAACTTGATTTGTGTACAGCAAACATGGCTGTCCCAGCCAGCCATAGACACTAAAGGACTTCTCTTGGGTTATTCTGCAAATGCTCTTTTTACATTTCAAAAGTTTGAGCTCAGTAGGTTGAACATGTGAAGGCAGATATGCAACCAGAGTTCAATGTGAATGGTATTTGTAAAGAATGTGATTGTCTCTATGCTCCTGTGTTTTACATATTCCTATATATAATGTTTAGATTAAATGGACCTTCATTGCAAACATGTTTTTCCACAAATTTAGGATGCTTTCCACTGAGCATATATCTCTCACTGTCTTCTCAATAACTAGGATTATCTACAGTATCTCTAATGGTAAGGGTCCCATCTTTTGAGGAGGCCAGAAATACCTGAATAAGATTGCCATGACATCTTGCAAGATAAGGTTCTTGACTTCTTTCAGAAATGTTAGTGTAAGCATTTGAGAGCTGTTCACTTGGCAATAACTGTAATTAGAATGGATCAGAAATAATAAAAGTTACCCATTAGTGTCTAAAGATGTATTCATATAACAATAAAACATATACTGAGGCCATGTGAACCTTATAATTTAAATATCTAGATTCAAGAGAAAATTGTTTCATAGTTTTTACTAGAAAAATGGAGCTTGAGTTCAGAACTGGCATTTTCTCAATGAGAAATGTGCTCTTTGACTGGCTATGATGACAACCTTAGTCTAGGCTGAAATGTTTTAGTCATTGGCTTTGGAGTTCATTTTATACAGAGTAGGGAAGTTAGCTCGTAAGCAGAAAACATTTTCAAGTTGCATCTAAATGGTTTTGAATACTTGAATTTAATTCATGCATCAAATCTATTACTTTTTTTTTTTTTTTTTTTCCTTTCTTTCTTTTTATACATTCTTCTTGTTTGGTTCGTTCCTCTTGGTTGTATTCAATTTAATATTTGTTCTGAGCTTTTTTGCATTAGCACCTTATCTCCATCTCTAAGATGATCCTGATTCAGAGCTGATCCAAACCTCACTGAAATACCTGGAAAACACCAATTTTGGATCATCCCTCTATCTCTATTCATCTTGTGTATCTGGTTTTCATTTTTTAGGAATTCTCATTTTATTTATCGTCTTTACCATATTCTTCTATCAGTTCTTTGCTTTTATCATTAGAAAAGTAGCAGGAAAAATATTTTAAAAAAATAGTTTCCTAGTTTCTGTGTAAAAAAAAAACCAAAAAACCAGCCCTACCCGATTGTTTTGAATTTTTTTTGGTAAACTTTATGTTTACAGGGGAGGCTAAATATATACACTAGCATTGTACTTCCCTTCTATTCCCCCTTCGAACACAATTCTTTCTAATCTATGTAAATACTGAGAGAAACTCAAAAACTGGAGGATATTTTTGAAATGTATCAGAAGTCTGTGAAGCATCACAGTCAAGCCTGCCCTTGCAATCTGGAGATAACATTGTACAGAGTTTTAGCAGGCATGAGGTTATACATTTGCTTTAAGTGCAGTTTTACAGTATGCAATTTTCAGTAGGTAAGACATGTTATTGTCATTAGGGGAGAACTTAAGATATGTTTTTTCCTGAAGATGCTAACAAACAACTGTCTGTTAACTGTCTGTTACCTGCAGATCTGGAATTTGAGCCAGTAACTGTTTCAATAAGGAGGAGAAAAAAAAAATGTCTGGTGACATTCTGTGTAATGTTTAGATGTATTGTCATTGACATTTTCTAGTTTCTGTGGGAAAAGTCTCACTATTTCACTGTAACCAATTTATACCTGAATGCCTTAACCTGACAAATGCTTAGATGCATACTTGTCTTCAAGGAAATAGGTAGTGCCGTTGAAATCAATGGGACTTCTCACTCTTGCAGTGATGTATCTGTGTACTTAAGGAGCGCGGTCCTGTCCAGCTTCATCTGCATTCTATTTCCTTTTTGATATCTCTCTCCAGACTGATGGGCTGATCCTTTTCTTCATAAGTGGGATTATCCAGGTGCTAAGGAAAATATTTGAGTATGAAGATAGTGAGGTAGTGAATAACAATGCTTTTCTGATGTTTTACAGCATGGCATCTACATGGTGAAAACAATCTATAAGTAGCAAAAAGTAGGTAGCTAGAACTCACAGTATATGTGAACAGGAATGTGTGCAAGTGCAATGTTTCCTCCAAATTGTGAAGGATTATGTGGTTGCCTCATTTAATGATTAATTATTTACTATTTGCTTATGTGGATTAATACAATTTATTTCATTAGAGTCAGATGGAGAATGAGCTCCTAATACAGTGTTTTAAATTTCCCAAATATGTCAAACTCTGCTGTCTTATTGTACTTTAATATTAGACACAAAGTCTTAGGGTTAATATTTCAGAAGGTGGAGTTTCTTTCCCATAGTATCATTCAATCCTCTGCAGAAATGATTTACAGATACTGTATGCAATTCTATATGGTTTTTGTTTTATTTATTTTTAAAGAAAAATAATCCTTTATTAGGAATTTGGTTTAGCAGAGATTATATCATTCGAAGTTTTTATAGTCTATTTTAATGGGTTTTTGATTATGCTTAGCCAGATAGCTCACCCAGTAACCATGTTGGGATCCTTTGTCTTGCACTCTGTGCAACCCTGCTGAAGCCAACAGAGTGGCATGGGTGCAAAACGGAATGTGGAAGACCAAGTCAGACCTCTTGTGTGAAGGTCTGTTTATTTTTTTTGGGAAATACTAGCTGCATTAATTTGTAAATAATTTTATTTATTAATCTGTTTTGGTAGTAATGTGTCTCAACATTGAGTTCTTTTGCTGGCAGAGTCCCTCTGAGTCCCAGATAGCTCCTTGGATTACATTACATTGTATTGTTTGTCTTTGTCTATTTTTTTGGCTGAATTCAACTGATGTCTGTGCATTTTCTCATACAAGGCTATGAAAAATCTCGAAGCTTAAACAACATAGCTGGCTTGACAGGCAATGCTCTGCGGCTGTCTCCAGTAACATCACCCTACAGCTCACCTTGTCCTCTAAGGCGCTCTCGGTCTCCCATTCCTTCCATCTTGTAAACCAGATGGCATCAATCGGCTACATAGTATTAATTCAAATGCTGTTTACCACATATGGGAAATAAATGTAGCATTAACCATAGGCACCACAAATATGGTATAACTCCTGCATGATATAACTTTCGGTAGTAAGAAATGCCACTTGGGTAGCTTGGGTAGCAGATTTTTATCTTGGCTTCTAAAGAGTACATAAGGTAGTGCTTCTCCTTTTATGTACTATATTGTCCCACTTTCCTGTAGCAATAAAAGGACAGGTAGTGGATGCCGTTGGCCAGCATATTCAATGAATAAGCATATTTTCAGGGAGATTTACTTAAAATAATGTGCTTCCAACTAATTATCAGTCACTCCATTGAACCTCCATTTCTTGTGACTCTAATCCATTCTGAAGATGTCTGGAATCGTGTCTTGGTTGCACACAATGTGACTTGAGTCTGCTCATTTGCATGGATCATCCTGTCTCCATCACCTGAAAAACAGTGTTGCCCATCACGGACACCACAGAGGGCTCTGGATGTTTGTTCTTGCATTGTACCAT